GTTTGTTTTTTTTTGGGGGGGGGGTTTTGGAAATAACATTAAGAACAATTCAATAAAAAACTTTTTGAGAAAAAAAAAAGTTGAGACCTTCTTCTGTTGTTGTGATGGAGGGGGAAGACTGAGGGGTCTTTGAGGATATCAAACCAGCTCCAGGCTGGAGCCTGAGGGGAGTGGCTTTCTCTCTCTTCCCCGATTTCTTTCCTGATTCTCTGCTCAAGCTTGCTTGTGTGAGTCCAGCAGGGCCTGGTGGTCTCTGTTTCCTGGGAGAGGCAGGAGGTGATGGTGGGCTGCTGGCTGCGGGAAGGGGACATTAATTGCCCTTTTCACAGCAAAAATGTCTCTGGCTGTTCCTCCCTCTTGGAGAAGACTCTGGGAAGACCTTACAGCACCTTCCCAATACATAAAGGAGCTCCAGTAGACAGAGGGTAGGACAAGGGTAAATGGCTTCACACTGACAGAAGGCAGGATCAGATTGGACGTTAGAAAACATTTCTTCCCTGTGAGGACAGTGAGTCACAGGTTGCCCAGAGAAGCTGTGGATGCTCCATCCCTGGAAGCGTTCACAAGACCAATTTGCACAGGGCTGGAAGGTGTGCCTGCTGGTTTGTGGTGTGCTGCCAGTTTTGCGATCTTTGCGGTCCCGTCCCACTCAAACGGATGTATGAACTGCAAGCCCCGGGCGCTGCTCGGCAGGGCGGTGCCGGGGGCTGGTCCCGGGGCGGTGCCGGGGGCTGGTCCCGGTGTCGGCGCTGGCGGCAGCGGCGGGCGCGGAGCACACGGCGGCGGCGGCGCGGGGTCCACACCATGGGCGGCGGCTGCTGGCGGCTGCTGGGCTTCGTGTGCCCGCTGCTCCTGCACCTCGGTGAGTGCCGCGGGTCGGGCTGCAGGGCCGGTACCCCCCGGCTCTCCCCGCCGGGGCTGGGGAGCTGGAGGGTGGGAGCGGGACCTCCGGCCGCGTCTCGCACCCTCTGTAGCTGCGGGGAGCTGCCCCACGGCTCAGCGATCCATCCACCCTTGTCCCGTGTCCTGAGACGCCGAGCAAGGAGGAACGCGGCTTCACGGCGCTGTCCGGGGTCTCTGCTCAGGCAGGGACAGTTCCCAAGCTCTGGCTCTCCAGCTGTGTGTGCCCGCCCCACGCACCTGCTGGCTTTCCCTGCTGGGAAGTTCACCGGGGCCGGAGGGCGTCCTGACCGCTGGGGGACTGACGACAGGTCCGGCGCCTCACTGGCACCGGCGTGTCCCCTCCATGCTCCCGCTCCTCCGAGAGCCGAGGGAGGACGCGGAGCACAGCGGTACCCAGTGACATCTCTGCTCTGAAAAGAGATGGGGAGCCCGGGATTAACCGGGTCCGGCTGCACGGACGATGGAGGACAGGGACCACCAAACCTCTGGTGGATTTTAGCTCAGAGGGTGGGTGAGTCGGACCCTTCTCCCGGAGCAGGATGGCTCCATCGGCACTCGCTGGGGAGCCGGGGATGCTCTGCAGTGCCCTGGGAAACTTCCCTTGGCTTGCTTTTCCCTTGGGCTTTATCCTTGACGGAGCCGGGGGCAGGTTTTTCCCCATGCTTATGCAGCAGAGCAGCAGAGGTGATTTGCCCTTCCGCTTTCTCCTTCTTCATGTCGAGGTTGCTGAGCGGAGGGGAGAGTTTGTGCCGAGCATTAGAGCAGCCCAGGAGGTGAAACCTCAGCCTGCAGCAGGGAGCCGGCAGAGGGGAGGCATCATCTGACCCTGCTAGCTGCTGACCCCTTGGGCTGGTGGGAGGCACGCTTGTTGCCCGGCTGGGTCAAAAAAGGAGCAATGGATCCCACTTTACTGACACCTGCGGTGTTTGTGACCCACGTGTCTGGCATCAGTCCGAGACTTTCCTCGGTGCTGTGCTCAGGGGGTTCTCATTGCAGACACCTAAAGTGCCCTGTGATCGTCTCGACCACAGCCCCTTTGCTTAGGACCCTGTTCCAGGAGTGCAGGCATGGGATGCCGGCAGCAAGGCTCCCTGGATACATCCTGGCTGCCTCAGCAGTCACCAGGAAACTTTCAGCTGTTTCTGGGGTCACCTTTCCACAGGGGTCCCTCGCAGAAACCTCCCCCTCAATCAGAAACCTCCCTGGTGCACACCCATGTCACTTCCAAAACTCTTGTAACTCCTGTGAATTGGCACAGAGAGCCCACATCTTCTGACCTGCAGGACCTCTGGAGCAGAGCTGAGGACCATGCAGGTTTTCTCTGTGACCCAGTCACACACACCAGCTCCTTTTGGGCTTCCTACCAGTCATGGATGCACTCGCAGTCCTCATGAACACACCCTGTCACCCATTGTCCCTTGTCCAGCACCAGGGTTTGCCAGTGCATGTGGTAAATCGCTTTTGGGAATTGGGAGCAGAGCAGGGAATTGGGACTTCTCAGAATGAAGCAGCCAGACTTGCACTTGTGCCTTTTCCTTATGTGCTTTTTCTTCCCTTTTCCTCCCCTGCTTCCCCTTCCTGTTTTCCCTTTCCCTTTTCTCTTTATCCTTTCCCCTTTCCTGTTCACCTTTTCCATTCCCTCTTTCTCCTCCCCCTTCCTCTTCCTACCTTTCCTCTTCTCCTCCTTTCTACTCTCCTCCTTCTACTTTCCTTTTTCCTTTCCCCTTCCCCCTTCCCCTTTTATTTCTCTTTCCCACTTTCCCCTTTCCCTCTCTTTCCCACTGCAGTCAGAGCAGGGACTCCAGCTTGCTGAGCCTTTGCTTTGTTTTTATCTGTTGTAGTCACAAATTAATCTTTGCTGTCAGGGGATCAAGGCCGGGACAGATGGCTCCGGGGAGAGCCCGGGAGGCCCGAGGTGAGGCAGGAGCCCCGCGGCGAACGGCAGCATCGCTGCGGGGCCGTCCCATCGCCTCGGGCTGCCGGGCCAGGAGCGAAGGTCACCGCCAGTGCCCAGGGAGGGGATGCTGGCGGTCCGGGGGGATGTGGGAGTCCCTCGCCACGTTTCAGAGCCACCCTGCCCTGAGCTGGGCAGCTGTCGGGGGTCGGAGGGGGCTCAGCTCGGCCTCTCCTGTCTGTGCCCCGCAGCCGCGAGCCAGGAGCCCGTCAGCATGGCGGGACAGTGCGACAGCATCTTCAGGGGCTTCGCCAGCTGCCTCATCAGCCTGGGCGAGAGCATGACCCTGAACATCCGGCGGCAGCAGCAGCAGCAGGAGGAGGAGGGCGGCGACGAGGCGCAGGAGCTGGAAACCATCTGCAAGTGAGTGTCCCTGCGGGAGCGGCTGGGACGGCGGGGTCACTGCCACCAGCATCCCCCGACTCCCGGCCTCCTCCCCAGGTCCTGGGATGATTTCCACACCTGTGCCAGTGACGTGCTGTCCAGATGCCCGGTGGAAGCGAGCAGCGTTTGGGAGTCGCTGCGCCAGGAGTCCCGCAAGATGCAGTTCCAGGGGAATCTGCAGGAGCTGTGCAGCGCCCGGAGCCGCCTGGCCAGCCCCCAGCCCCCCGGCTCGTCGGCCTCTGAGACCAACCAGGCCACGCTGCGGGGCTCGGCCACCTCCCTGCACCCCCGTCTGCTGGCCCTGCTGGCCCTGCCGCTGCCGCTGCTGCTGCTCTGGCTCTAGCCCTGCTCGCCCGCAGGGTGCCCAGGTGATGCCGGGTCGGTTCCTTCGGCTGCTGACCGGTCTCCGCCACGCCCACCTCCCTCCCGGGCATCCCTCGCGGGGCACGGTCTTCTCCTGCAGCACTTCAGATGGATTTATATTTATATTAAAAGACACTTTTACATTTCTCCTGTCTCTCTGCCATGGGATGCCCCTTGAGCCCCTCCCAAGTTCCGTGTTTGCTCTGGGGACTGGATAGGAGAAGCTCCCTGCACCAGTCCCCAAAAAGGGTGAGTGGGAGGGTCTGTGACTCCATTCCCCCAGTATATTGCCCATGGCCATGCCAGGTAGTCCATGGGTCCATGGACAGGCCCAAGAGGGGGCAATTCCCGCTGTCCTGGTGCTCCTGGCCACTGCTTTTCAGGGTTGGGCATAGCAGATATTCCCTTTAGAGGTGGGTCAAATGTTTTATTCGTTTTAAAGGGCACCTTAGTAAAAGATGGGGGCAGATTTCTTTGTCTTTTTGGCAGCCAATAGCTTGTTCTCTGATGGGCAACTCCAGTGACATTTTCTGTTTTCCACCCCTTTTATTCTGGCCTTGCTGTATTCATGGTCACGAAGAAAACCATGGTTTGCAGAGAAGAGAGGCTTTTTCGGTTTTTTTAAACCAAGATGATGGAGGGTAAAAAGCTAGGGAACTGGAATCCAGGTTCACATGGAACTTGCCAAAGTTAAATCAAGATGATTTGTGAGCGTTTAACTTGGCTAAACTTGTATCTATCAGTGGAAGATGATCTAATTCCCATCCTTGTCACTGTTATGCTGAAAACTTAGGATATTTTTCCCAGCTCTTAAAGCCCAGTGTGCAAACCATCTCCCCTAGGCCTGGGCTGGTGAGGCATCCTCCCCACTCCCCACCCACAGCCTAAAGGGCCACTGGAATTGCAAATGGGACACCCCAGCTGTGGCACAGACCAGGGGCTCCTTGCTGGTGTGGCTTCCAGGCCCCAGCAGCAGTGGTGGGTAAATCTGGCTGGCATGTGGGAAAACATCCCACTTGGGAACGGCAACAAGATCCTCTGGCCAACAACACAAGTGCCACTGCTCTGAGGATTGTTCCAGGCTCAGCAGAGAGCAGGAGCCATGAGCTCCTATGTGCCATGGGTAGCGAGTTGCTGCTGTTTCTGTGATTTCTGTCTGTCCCAAAAACATTCCAGCAGCTGGGCACATGGTTTTGGCCCAAGAAAGCCTTTGCACACTGTCCTGTGTGAGCAAGGAGCTTAGTAATCATGGTCTTCCTTGAGCCAAGATAAAATATTGCATGTTTCATCATAAAACCTCTTCCTGCAAGGTCACTTAAACATGTACTTGAAGGTAACTTAAACATGTGACTGATAACCTCTGGGATGCCACCCTGGCTGTCCCAGTCCTCTGCCAGGTCCAGGAAATGGTAACAGGATTGCTGGTTCATCCCGTGGGGCTGAGTGGTTGCTGCTGATCTCTCAGCTCTGTGTGGGGCATGTGTTTATTTCCCATTATTTATTCCACGAACCCTCCTGGAGCTGGCTGGGGGGACACAAAATATCTGGGCTGTCGGCAGCCCTCGCTGGGGGAAGATGCTGATCCCGGGGCCGGTGCCCCGTGGGACACGGAGCAAGACACCACCCCAGCTCTCCTCATCCAGCAGCTGCCACTCCCCGTGTTTAACGCCAGCGCCGGGGGGATAATCCGCCGGTTCTTTCCTTCCCAGTTGCTGACAATCCTGTGTTTAAGGGTGAATTAGTGCCGGATCCCGGCAGGGTGGCTAAGAGGATAAACGCCAGCCGGGCGCCGGGCGCGCACAGCGCAGCGCCCGCCGGCACCTCCGCAGGGGTGGGAGCGGCGGGGCACGGGAGGGGACCGGGGGGATGGAGCGCCACCAACGTGCCGTGACAGGCTGCCACCAGCACGGTGACACCTGCAGACAACGAACTGTGCTGCTTCAATCAAGCCGGAATCAACGATCCACCACAAAACTGTGGTCTGTCCGTGTATCTCACCCCGTGTGAAAGACGCACCACAGAAGGTCCCATTTCCTGGACAGTGTCAGCGTCCAGGTCACACCACAGGCTCTGTCACCACAGGTCCCAAGCTGCCTCACTTGTCACAACGTGGCTCACACCTTTGGCTGTGAAAGGCGTCACTATACCACTACACAGCCTGCAGGCACTGCTGGCTCTGGGAAGCCAGGGCTGAGATTTGGGGGTGCTGAAAAGGGTGGATCCGTGAGTCACCACTGCTTGATGACACCACACGTGCAAGGGTCCACGGCAAAGCTCTGCCCAAACCCCAGTGTCACCTGTCACCCCAATCCTCCTTCAGGGAGGTGCCTGCAGGGCCGAGGGCAGCAGGGTGACAGCAAGGGTGGGCAGGCTGACACTAGGAAAGCTCTCTGGTGCTCCAAAACTGGGACACTGAGCCAGGGTCTGTCTTGCCATTGGGCCTAAGGGTTTGGGACAGTCCTACAGCCATGTCCTGCCGTGAGAAGGGACGACATCCTCATTCCTATCACGACAACAAACAGCCGGCTCCCTGCACACTGACAGCATCCTAAAGCACCTGTCCAGGCTGAAAGGACAGGATGGTGGGGAATGGGACTGGTGAATCCCGGCACCGGGAGCCTTTGGAGCGCCTGCCCTGCTGTGAAAACCCCTCGTTGTGGTTACGAAACTCCGGTGACCTACTTTACACTCCCTGCTTTTGTTCTTAATTCCCAGATATGGCCGCTCTCCAGATTTTGCCCATCAAGGCAAATTAATTGGAGTAGATCCTAATTTGCTCTCTGCTATTCTTTGGGCAGAAGATTAAATGCTCTGCAGACATTATCTCCCCCTCTCTTCTCTAAGAGACAAACCTAAATTATTAAAAAAAAGAAAAAAAGGGATCAAGGCCAGCTGAGTCCAGCTGAGTTGATGTTTGAATTCACTTTTTGTAATCGCAGAAGGGGGCCAGGGAGGTCCTCGTGCCCTCGGGCAGCTGGAACCAGATGGTGCCACTATTCTAGGTGGCTGTGTGAGTGAGACAGCACACGTGGCACAGCGACATGAGGGCTGACCTCCCACCATGCTGCCCAACACCTCTGCTACACCATGGCTGAATCCTCCATTCCTTCACCCAGAGAAATCCCCTCCTGATGAAGGTGCCAGCTGGGGAATCACTCCTCATCTGTGGGGACGTACTTGGCTTTCTCTAACTGGATAGACTGGTGTGGAGGCCACTAGCAGAGGGGGGATGTCTCCTTGCCCTTCCATAGCCCCAGTGCCACTGTCCCAGTCTGGCATCCCCAACCAGGCACCAGTTTCGCCACCTCCAGCTTTGCTGTCACCCCAGGGGGAGTGGGAGCATTGGAAGACAAGCATGGCCTGGAGGACACTGTGTCACAGGGCTGGCCACTATCCGAGTTTGCATGGGGATTTCTGCTGAGCCAAATGTCCAACTTTCCATAAAGAAACACCAAAAGACAACCTCAGTCCCCGCGGATCAGAGGCAGTGGGAACAGCTGAGCTGGAGTCACCTCTGCCATGGGGGCTGTGTTCAGCCTGGCACCCCATCTGTGCTCAGCTTTGGGGCTGTTTTATTCTCCAGAGAGGCATATGGAAAGTTGGATTTCTTTTTTAAGCAGCTTTAATTGAACATCCTCCCGTTACGACCTCTGCTCAGCCTTGCTGGGACAACCTTGAGCTCTGGCCTGGAATGGCCACTGAGGCTCGGGCTCGCTGCCACACAGGGCAGGGATGCAGCTCCGAGGAAATCCAGATTTCCTGCTTCACTCCATCCATTTGATGGCAGATGAGGGGTCCCATTCTCCTGGCTTTCTGTGGCCTAGCACAGCAGAAAACCCTGGGATCCCCAAATTGCCCCACACTCAGGATATGCAGCAATGTTCCAGGCAGCTTTGTGGTGCTGGGGGATGCTGGAGGTACTTCCAGCCATTCCCATCATTCCACAGGGAATTACAGCTTGTTGCACCCCAATGAGACTCTGGAGTCAGCTGGCAGCACCACAGGCAGGTGTGGGATGCAAAGGGAGCTCTGAAGTTCCTGCTCCAAGCAGGGTTTATGCTGGTGCTGGAGCCAGCTCCAGAGCATCTCTGCATCTCCAGGCAGAGAGGATCTTCCACCTGTGCGTACCCAGCATTGCCCTGCTGGTCCCAGCCTGCCTTTAGCAGCTTCCACGGGAGAAGCCTTGAAGAAGCCACTGACAGGAGATACAAAACTCTAAGGGAACCCATCCTTGCAGACGGGTGAAGGCTGTCAGGAGGGAGCAGCCAGGCTGCAGGACCAGGGGAGTGGTGCCTGTCCCATCCCTGGAAGTGTTCAAGGATGGAGGGTCTGAGCAACATGGTCTGGTGGGAGGTGTCCCTGCCCATGGTAAGCGATTTGGAACTGGATGACCTTTAAAGGTCCCTTCCAACACAAACCATTCCAGGATTCTGTGATTCTTCACAGCCTCAAGTGCTGAATCCTTCCCATGAGGCTGGAGGCAGGCTGTAGATCTTGGGCATCAGCTGGCATGGGATTTCTGAATGGGTCAGCATGGAAAAGCAGGGGGAGGCTCCTCTCCAGGGAGAGCAGCATCTTGGAAGGGAGGAGGCAAAAAAAGAAACAACAAGGAGACAACAGCTCGTTTGGCAGGAAAACCCACTGATAGACCCTGCCCAAGAACAACACTGCTTTGTGAGTGTGTCAGAAACCTGTTACCAGTTCCCTCTTGGAGGAGGGAGAAAAATCCCCAATAGTTTTTGGCTGGAGCAGTGCTAGTGGGAGCCCAGGTACCCAGAGCCTGGCAGGATGAGCGGCTGCAGAGCCTCTCAGTGCTCAGAGCTTCACGGCTGGTGGCCCCAGCAGCAAGGCGCTTATCCCAGTCAGAAAACTTCCTGCTGCAGGAAAGGCTCTAGATGGAATAACAGGCATCAGGAATCTACAGAGAATGACCCCAAAGTCAGACGGGGTGCCTGACCTGGCAGGGAGTGGAATCACATGGATGAGCAGACAGCTCCCTGCCTCATCCCTGGGTGTTTTGCCAGGCGGATGTTGGCTTTGTGTGGATGTCTGGTGTGAAGTTCTCTTGGCTCCGGTGGGTCTCAGAGCACCACCACAGCATAAATAATACAAGAGCTGCTCTGACTGAAGTTCTCAGAAAAAGTCCACGGTTCTGACCCAAGGGTTCGATACCTGTTGGCTCTTTGACATTTTCAAGTGATGATAGACTTGGAATTGCCTCATTTAGTGTTCCCATGAGGCTGGGCAGGAAACAAAGCTGTGAGGAAATGACTAATGGAAGATGCATCCCTTGAGGGAAACGCATCCTTGCAGAGCACTTACCCTGTGTGAGCATCCCTGGCCAAGGTGAAGCAGTTCTACACCCATCAGCCGGGATGACAGAGATGAACATGCTGGTGGAACCAAGCTGGAATGACCTTGAGAAACAGCCTAAAATAATAGGCTCAGCTTAAACAGAGACACTTGCAAGGTTTCACATATCAGACACATGTTAAGCCACCTCTCAGGTACAGTGCAGGGGATGTGTGGCTGTGGAAACATCTCCAGAAAGATGGGAGATTAGAGGGCTAAAAACCTACCTGCATCACCATTACTGTGTGGGAAAACAGCAACTGGGAAGTTTCCTTTGCAGAGAACTGCACAACTCACCTGATCTGTAGATTCCAGCCCAGGCAGCCCCTTCTCAACCCTCACACATTTCCATGCTTTGTTGGGAATTACACAGAGAAGAATGACAATAATGTGCATCAGCAGGTACAACTTTTACTACATTATAACTTAATAATCATTTTAAAACAGCCAAAGATCCCAGGAGCATTCAAATAAACACGGCTATTTTTAAAAGCATGGTAGGAGTGTGAAAACAGTCCTGCTCCACCTGAACCGCCTCGGGAATGACGTGAGAGCCAGGCTGGAAAACAAGCCCAACAGCATTGCACTTACATGTCCCCAAGGGAAAGGAGTGCCGTCAGCATCCCTGCAAGGTGTCATCCCTCCTCTCCCTGCTTTCAGGTCATCCAGGGCCAGGATGTAGAGTGTTTTGTTTGAGGATGAGGAAAGGATATGAGGAAGAAAGTCCACAGGCAGTTACCAAGCAAACTTTGCGGGTTTTGTGGCACTTAGTAGCTGGGGCAAAGAAAGGAGAAAGGAATGTGCCTCGTTATTCTGCTGTGCAGAATAGCAAGAGCTATCCCACAGGGACAGGGTTTTCCCTGCCAAGGAAAAGGACCAATGCTTCCGGGCAATTCTCTTGCAAAGGGAATGTTTTTCCAGAGTCCCGCAGCCCAGTGGGGAGCCCTCGGAGCTGATCCACAGGCTGCGGGCTCCAAGGCGCTGCTGGAGAGCTGTCAGAGCTGGATTTGGCTCCAAAGAGGAGGAGGCACTGTGGCCACTCTTCCGAGGCAGGAGCATGGGGATCAAGAACATTGTCCCTGCCAGGGACCACCGGCCTGGCCACCGGCTCAGCCCACGGGGCTGAGTTGCAAAATGTAGAATTTGTCCATATTATCTCAAGGCAGGATGTTCTTTGATGTAAGACCTCTGTACACTTTCAAGCCTAATCAGCAAAAAAGGATACTTAATCAGTGGAACAGGCAGCAGCCAGCTCCCTCATTCAAGCATATCTTGGAATTAACAAGATTTAGGGATGTAATAAAGTAAGATGTTGATGTTTGCCTATGTAAACATTGCTAGCTTGGCAAAATACTCCATGTCCGTGTATCCTAGAGCTGAGCTATCTTCATTGTAGCACTAAAAATCATGCTGCAGGTCAAAAACCTGTCAAGGTGAAGACCCTTCCCGTGAGCATGAGAAGTTAGCTGGAGTTCTGTGATTTCTATGGAAATTATTAACCAATCTTAATAGTGGAACTGTGCTTGGGAAATGACTAACCCTGAACTTCTCTGCATAAATAATAGCACAGAAAGTCCAGTGGGGTGTGCTGGATTTGTGGAATAACACTGAGCACCCAGGCTGGAGCAGCTCTGAAATAAACAATCACTGTCTCTCTGAAGTGTGTCATTATCAGCTCGGTGCACACCAAGGAACAAACCTGATTTTGTGGGTAACAACAGGGCCAGAGTGGTGAGAGGAGCCCTGGAGTCCATGGGGTGAGGAGTTCCAGGGGCCCGTGGGGCTGAGGGGCCCCATGTTAAAAACTACAACGTAATATTGTCTTTCACACTTATGTATTAGCTTTTGTATGACCATAAATATTCAGATATAGTACAATTTATAACTCTATTTAGCTGTTCGTTAGTATAACATCATCTATTAGTTTAAGTATGTACTATATAGTTTATAGAAATAGTGGTGTGATAAATGTATTATATCATAGGCCTTAGCAAAACACACAATGTGAGCTGAAGGAATGGTGGGAGACAATTTTGTTGGTTCCCACATTGGCTGACTGATGTCTTCAACACATAACACAGAGCACCAGAGAAGAACCGTAGAAGAATTTGTTAACACCTATTGGAGGAAGTGGAACCACAGGATGGAGAAACTAGAAAGTCATGCATGAAAGTTAAAAGTGTAAAGAAAACAAACCAAAGAGTTCCTGAAACATCAAAAACTCACAAGAATGTCTGAATAACGCATGAAGCACATGAACATGCACGCACCTCACTAATGTAACAATATATAGATCACACTGTCCGAATTTACCCGGGTGCTTTTTGGCCAAATGCCAAGGGCACCCCAGCGCTGGTTAATTTTTTGTGCTTGCTTTATCCCTCATTAAAGTTTTTAAAATTCCAAATCCCAAATCTCGTTTTTCACACCCAGAGCTCTGAGGGGTCCCAGGCGGGGCTGAGGGCCCCGGGGGATGCTCTGAGGCCCCGGAGCCCCTCACGCTCCCGGAGCCGCGGGCAGTCCCGGGCCGGTCCCGGGCTCTGGGCCGGCCCCGGGCTCTGGGCCGGTCCCGGGCTCTGGGCCGGTCCCGGGCTCTGGGCCGGTCCCGGGCGGGCGCTCCCGTGGGCTCCGGCAGGGGGCGGTAAAGCGCCCCCGCCCTCCCCGCGCCTCGGCCCCGCCCCCCGCCCTCTCCGCCAATCGCAGCGCGCAGTGTCCCCGCCCCTCGGGCGTCCCAGGCGCGCGGTGATGACGTCAGGAGGCGGTGCCGCGCCGCGGCCGGAGCGGGCCGAGGTGAGTCCGGGATCGGCACCCCCGGGACCGCCTGGCCCGGCACCGGCTCCCCTCCCTTCCCCTCCCTCCCTCCTCCCGGGAGCGGCGATGGTGCGGCCCGGGAGGCGCGGGCGCGGCGGTGCTCCGGCGCCTCAGCCCTGCAACTGCCCGGGGCGCTGGGCCGCGGGGACGGGCGGGCCGGGGAGGGAGCCCTGCCCGCTCCCGGAGTGTCCCCTCGTGGGGCGGGCCCGGTGCTTCCCAGGCCTGGAGCCGAACATACTGCGGGACGAGCTCCCGGCACCGGCCCGGCCCTGGGTCCCCTTTCCCCAGTCTTGGGAATCCCGGTTGGTTTGGCTGATTCTGGCCAGCCCCTGGCTCCGGCACAGTTGCCTGCGGTGCTGCAGCAGCCCCAGCCCCGGGTTTCTCCTCCGAAATCCACCAGAAGCTCGCAATGGAAATGCCAGGTTATGTCAGGTTTATGTCAGGCAGTGAGAGGCACATTTGAGATGTGTTACTGAGACGGCAGGCGAGGAACTGAATCTCCGAGGGGAGAAGCATAAATCTCATGTTCCTTCCCATCACTTCTAGCTGTAGCTCAGCTCGTTTGCCACGCAGATAATTTGTTACCTGTCAAGTATGTGATTTCCCGCTGGGAGAGCTTCTAATGCTCGTAATTTATCTTAATTCCTTTCCCCACGTTCTTGGTGATTACTGCACAGGAGCATGTCCTGCACTAATGTGGAGTTAAACATTTTGTTGCTGACTCTGGTGTGCAGCTCTGGGATTCTGTAGCATTCACTGGAACGCTGAAGTGTACAAGGAGGAACCACTGACGTTCTGGAGTTGCTGCTAGATCTCAGTTAATGCTATTAGTGAAATATGCCAAATATAGATAATATTTTCAAGTGTTTGATCCTTTTGTTTGGTTTTATTTATAGATGGGATATTTTACACAACATGTAAACCTTCTCTCCGTGTTGAACTGTAATAATTTTGTTTATGGATACTCTCATTCCATTTCTCTGTTGACTTAATATGCTTTAAGGTTCAATTATGCTGGGAAAACTGTCCATGGGAGCCATTATTCAGGACTAGCCAGAGCTCTGAATTTTTTATCATGGTGCTTTAGTCTGAATGAAGCCCCACCTCCAGGGCAGTGCTTGGTGAAAGTCAGCTAAGTTTTCTGTGAAGTTTTTTATTTCTACTGCCTGAACCCTACTGCAGGCATGGCTGGATTGTTTGACTTCAGGGTGTTGCCAGGAGGGAACTTCTCCCTTGAAAAGTTACTTTGATGATGTTCAATTATAAAACTGAATCTTTACTAAAGCCTGGTTTCCTTTCCAGGTTGGATGAAGAGTCTGAACTTCTTCCAGGTGTTCTTTTAAAGCATTTCTTATTTCTCCACTTGCTTCTCCCAATGGAGGATCAGCTGAGATTCATTTTCTGCTATTCATGCTGAGCAGTTTCTTGGAGAGGTGGTGTGTGAGTGGAGATACACCTGGTGATGGTAAGACCTAAAATCACATTCTCAAGGCTAGTGGTTTTCTGTCTCCTCCTGTGAAGGCTCAGGCACGTGTTGATGGACTCTGAGTCAAAAAGGGCAAATGTGAAACTGCCCAGTGACTGCCAGAGCCACAGGTGGCTTCTCCATCTCCTGACCAGTCATATTGTTTTAATCAGCACATAAAGACTTGATCAAGTGCAGCTGGTTTGGGCTTGTTGGCATACAGTGTGATGAGCAAGAGCTCCTAGTGTGGAACAGCTGCTTATAGGGAGCTCTGTATGGAAAGCCAGAAGTGCCACTTGGTGCCTAAAGATGTAAAATAAAGCAACATTGAGATTGTTGAAAGATGTGAAAGCCCACCTTGATTTCTCAGGGTTGGAGGATGAGGGACTTGCTGACTAAAAGCTGCTCTGGGCAAGTCAACATCTCCCTTTTAGCAGGGGCTGCAGCAGGTTCATTGCTAAAATGCACCTTAAAACCAGTGTGCCTCTGGCTCCATATTCCATGCCTCTTCTATTCCACTGATCCTCAGCAGCAAAGTAGTGAGAGGTTTAAGACAGTGTACAAATTCAGTATAAAGAAAATCTTGGGAAAATATGTTAAATGAACAAGTTGCTGAGGTACTCTGTGGACCTTCTGGTGAGCAAACTCAGAACTGTAGGGTTTGGATTGGCTGCTGACTGAGGAAGTTGAGCAGATCTAACAAAACTGAAGAAAATGCTTGACTTTTTCCTTTATTTGATTTTTACTAAGCAATTGTGTATGGACAAAAAGACCTCCAGAAGTCTTATGCAGCCTCAACTGCTTTGTGGCTGATTCAGTACTCAGCAGGGAGCAGAAAACAAATGATCCCTAATAAAGAGAGACACTGTGTGATTTCCATGGACACTCCTGTTCTGACCATGACTGGCTGTTTGTAGGTACTGCCTTCACTCACTTGTGATGAAAGCAGCAGAGTATTGTGCATGTTCTGTAGTAGAGAGAAGTGAAAATCCCATATCCTCGGGCTGTGATAGCATGACCCTATTGTTTTGAGTTTTCCCTCCGTATGAATCTTTACTACCTTGATTCCTCTTTATTTGTTTCTTCTCATTGTTTTTTTTTAAGATTCAAATGTGGGAATCACCCCAGATGTGGTTGCTGCTGATGCTCCCCTGGGAACATGCCTTGATAGGGAATTAACACCAGTCAGTGATGGGCTGTGGGACAAGCAAAGTGCTTCCCGAGCCCCCCAAAGATGTGCAGCTAGACCTGGTTAAAAAAGTCGAACCTTACACAGGCCACAGTGACATATACAAGCATTTCATCAAAGATGACTGCGGGGCTGTCATCAAAGCTGGCTCTCCCTCCCCTCCCCATCACTCCAACCCCTATCCCGGGAATCCCCTGCCCGCCCACCAGCCCGAGCCCCGCAAGAACAAAGTGGCCAAGTACCGCGCCAAGTTCGACCCGCGAGTGACGGCCAAGTACGACATCAAAGCGCTGATCGGGAGGGGCAGCTTCAGCCGCGTGGTGCGGGTGGAGCACAAGGCCACCAAGCAGCCCTACGCCATCAAGATGATCGAGACCAAGTACCGGGAGGGCCGGGAGGTGTGCGAGTCGGAGCTGAGCGTCCTGCGGCGCGTGCGCCACACCAACATCATCCAGCTCATCGAGGTGTTCGAGACGCAGGACCGCGTGTACATGGTCATGGAGCTGGCCACCGGCGGGGAGCTCTTCGACCGCATCATCGCCAAGGGCTCCTTCACCGAGAGGGACGCCACGCGCGTGCTGCAGATGGTGCTGGATGGGGTGAGGTACCTGCACACGCTGGGCATCACCCACCGGGACTTGAAGCCGGAGAACCTGCTGTATTACCACCCGGGAACAGACTCCAAGATCATGATCACGGACTTCGGGCTGGCGAGCGCGCGGAAGAAAGGGGACGACTGCCTGATGAAAACCACGTGTGGGACCCCGGAGTACATTGCTCCCGAGATCCTGGTCAGGAAGCCCTACACGAACTCTGTGGACATGTGGGCGCTGGGGGTGATCTCCTACATTCTCCTCAGTGGCACGATGCCCTTTGAGGACGACAACCGCACCCGCCTGTACCGGCAGATCCTGAAGGGAAAGTACAGCTACTCAGGAGAGGTGAGTGTGATGAGGGGAAGTCAAACAAGAAGCTCTCCCTAGCTGTGACTTTGTGATGACCAAAAGCTGGCTATCATGTGGGTGGTTACATTGCTAGGGTAAAAAAATTTCTTGATTCTGGCTTTTAAAATCCTTTCCCATTTTCTTTATTCTCCCAGTGCAGTATTGCAAGCTCTTTTAAAAAAATATGTGCACAGAAAGAGGAAATTTGCTGTAGAACAGAGCTGGGATGCTTGGGGGTTTCTAACTGGGGGGACCTTGTCTGTGGTAAGCTGCTGTTACAGGTTTTGCAGGTGAAACTTGTGCTGGGGTGTTTGAAATGTGGCACGGGTATCACTGGTCTGATTTCTGACACAAATCCAAGTGTAATATGGAAAATACCTTTGCTGAAAGACGAGGTTATGGCAGGCTAGGGGCACTTGCTTCTTCCATCTGGAGATGGGATTATTTAAAAAATTGATCTGCATTTCTTCCTGAGCTTGGTATGTGAGAAAATGAAAGATTGAAAGATAGTTTTCATAAATGAGCATGGAAAGAAGAGTCTTGGGTATGTGACTGGAGATCTACCTGGTGATGGTAATCTTTTTAGGCATTTAAAAATATTAATAATTTTTAGGCCTTAGTGGGGCCTGAAGGTGCTTCTTGCTCTTCAGAAGAAACAATTTGAAGTTAAACACTTCTAAATAACAACTTCACACTTCAAAACCCTGTTGATATTAGGAATTAGTGTTGCTATTGTCATGTCCTTGCCATGCTATGCCCTTGATTATTGTGTGCAGGTCTGTGTTCTCTGGATAAAAATGCAGAGCTCAAAAGCATGTGTAGAAAGACAGTGTGAATAACCAAAGGTATGGCCTGGCTTCTGATTAAAGAATGAGTGAACAGACTAGGGCCCTTCCTCCAAAAGAATTAACATTTGAAGGGGGTCTGATCAAACTCAGTGCAGCCACAGGCAATCTGGAGAGAGTGATTTGAGTGTTTTGAAGGTTCCCTGGGGTAATTTACTCTGATGTTCACTGGTCCTTGTGCTGGAATGGACTGGTTTTGAGAAATTTTGTGAATTGCAATTAGGCCACTGGAGACTTGTTGGTTGTACGTGCAGAGGTAGCACATGTGCCACAGAGAAAGCATTAAACTCTCATTTCGAAAGTGTCAATGCACAAGCCTGAGGCATTTTACTCGTTATGCCATCACAAATTACACACTTTAGGAAGCTGTTATGGATACTGTGTGTGACATGAGTGGTTGTTTTGGAAAGCTGTCGATCCTTTACTGCTTGGAAAGCAAATATGTGTCAGCTAGCAGCCTGTATCTGTTGCCTGGATGATTTGTTCCTCTAGAGCCAGGGAAAATGGATGCTTTAATTTACCAGTGTAATTAAGCCTATGCCCCTAAATTGCACAGTGCTTGACTGTAGGCAGGTATTGGCAGCAGATGCAGTAAAGAGGTTGCTCGTTTTGTGAATAAATTCTAGGAGAAAACAAAGTGAGCCAGAGGTTTAAAGGTGTCTGCTGTGTTTCCCACAACCTTGCCAGCACTCTTAAAGCCATCTTCTGGGTTTTTAAATGCTACCGAGATTTTGATGTTCACAGACAATGGCTCTTCTTTTTCTGTGTTACTCTGGAAGAAGTGGGAAGATGTCAGAAATGAGGGTATTGATAAGTTTGTCAGACTAATGGGAATGGCAGGAGCTCTGAGTCCTGGTTTCTTTGGAGTAGGAGTGGGCAGAATACTCGAGTGCATTGCTGAAAGCATCTGTCTTGGATGGATGCGGGAGCAGAGGTTTCATGGGAACAACTGCTTTTCTTCTCTGTAATCTGAAAGCTGAGGATCTGAAACAGAAGAGGAAATGTTGAAAAAAGCCTGTGAACTGCAATGCCCAGAGCTGACAGCTTGAGCTGTGTGGCTCAGACAAGTTCCATGGGGAAGGAGGGAGCTGTCTTCAAGCTGCACCATGGCAGCAGCAGTGCCCTGAGTCTCGGTGCTGAGTCCTGCTTTTTGAAAAGTCTGACCCCAAAACCTGGTCACAGAGGACAAAGCTGTATTGAAAGAGGAACAAAAGCCAAGATGCACGCTGACCTGAGAAGCAGCTCCATTTTCTTGGAAAAACAAGTGATCTCAAGTCCAGCTCCTGTAATTGCTTTCTGACTGGGACCCTCTTACCCTGGCTCCTGTTCCTGGAGTGTGAGGTCCTTTTGAAGAGGCCATTAGCAGATCAGTAGGAGAGGTCTCCCACAATAGGTTATTCAGGTACTGCTGACATCACTGCTCTGATTATCTCTTGTATCTCGTTCTATACTTTTTGAACTGCTTCGAGTAATGGCTAGGATGAGGAAGGACAGCTGGTTTTGTAATTGGGTGTGCTTTTTTTCTTGAGTATCCTGAGTAAGGGTTAGGTGAGCTATTGACACTGCATTGAATGTAGACTGCTGCAGAATCATTCTTTTTCACTTGTTTTGTTCGAACTTACTTAAAAGAATGTTTGGACATAATTATTTAATTTAATTTTTAATTGAAATCTTGGAATTAAAACTGATTTTTGGGATCTCTTTATAGCATAGAAAGTTGACTGAGGAGAGGAATAAAGCTGGAATTCCATTTTTAGTTTCTTTTGAATTTGAAAGTGCAGAATTGAAGATTGGACCATCATTATCCTGCTAGGACAGGTTTGCTCTGGTTCTGTTTCAAAGCTTCTCCTTCTGTTGAATACCAGTACTTTTATGTTGCTTTACACACCTGGGAAACTTGATGGAATAAGTGGAAGATAATGTATGCTGTGGTTAAATTGGGAAACTTAGCTAAGGTGTATGGATTGTTCTGATTTTGATATCTGATCTGGGCAAACCATTTCTCTCATGGGCTGTTCTCCTATTCATAGAACAGAATCAGGTTTTTGTGGTATGCTCACAGTGGGTGAGGTTGGTGTGTGCTGCTGTGGGAGCATGTCTTAATCAAATAAGCAAAAAACCTTGTTCTAATGAATGATGCTAGTGGATGCATTCATAGGAGAGACATGCTTGATATATGAAGGAAGTTGGGCATTGCAAGTCTGTAGGAGCTCTGCAAGGGACTTAGCAACCTGTGGAGAGATGATCTGGTTTTGTGTGGCTTAGATTTTCCAATGTTTTTCAGCAAAATCCTCAGCAAAATCTCTTGAAGGAACTTTGCAGCTGTATTGTGATAATGGCCTTAGCATGCATCAGCAGTTTGCTGATAAGCACAGATGTGAAATACATGGTCAGTTCCACAGGGAAGCACCAAAACAGTGAAGATTGAAGAATCTGTGCCCTTCTGCCTAAAAGCCAGCAGGAGAAGGTGCCCTAACAAACCTGCACAGTCTCTGATGATACACAGATTATTCAGAGGGTGAAAAGGAGAGCTGGGGACCTTGGAAGTTTACCTGAAGAGCAACTGGATGAATTCATGGAAGGCACATTGATGGAGAAAATGACCAAAGGTCAGAGGAGAAGCCTGACTTGCAAATTGTATGTGCATTGCACTTTACTTTTCTCTCCTTGAATATTCAAAATCTTAATGATCTTCTGCCCTAACTTGGAGTTTAAAGCACCAAGTTAAATGCAGATGTTGAGTAAACTCTGCAGATCCTGTATGGATAGATTCAGGCTGGAAGAATGCCCTTAGTTACAGGAAAACCAAGTTACTCTGGATGAGTAGCATGAATGGTGTTCCCATAACAACGAACTCAGTCTGTATGAGTAAAAAGATAAACCACTTTCTCCCTGAGCAGTTTTTCCTGTCTGCAGCTGATAGCAGAAGCAGGAAGCATTAAGAGTGGAGGCAGTGCATTAGCAAACAAACTACCTGTGCTACCTGGCAAAAAGCAAGATAAAAATAAAGCCATTCCAAGGCAGCTGATGCATCCTTACCCAAGCACGTCTGCAGAGCGTTTCCAAAGTATCCTTGTCATTATCCTCATTGTGGGGGCTGGTTAAAAGACTGTGGAGGATTTGTAATCCCTCAAATCCCTTGTGACACATAGTGGAGGAGACAGGTGACAGGCTTGTCAAATTTTAGTATTAATTTCCTGCATTTATTCAATGTTTTGAGAGAGAACGTGGTAGAGCTTGAACCCAGACTGCTTGTGACTCACTTGGGAGCTGGTTGCTGAATCGCCCATCCCGCCCCAGAGGGACTGATCAGTCATTGTATTGTGAATTATGATGACTGTGGTTGGATTTCCTATCAAATGACAAACTTAATCTAAAACAGGCACAAGCAACAAAAAGAAACTGTAATTATTCTCAGTAACCTGCTTCCTCTAAAAGTTGCAGATGGAAATGTATAGTGGCAACTCAACTTTGTGTTCTGTATGCTTGTATTTTACTGTAGAAACTGGTCTCCTATAAGTGGAAAAAAAATTATACTTGCATATCAGAGAAAATGTCTCCATAATCCTTATAACTTTCAGGAGAATTCAGTCAGTATAGGACAAGCATTCTGAAACTTGGATGAGGCTTTGTACATAAGTTTTGCAGTGTAGTAAGTTTTGCATTGATGCTGTGGCAGGCCTGGCTGGCTGCCAGTCCTAGAGTGAGTCCTGCATGTTTGTGCTTTTGGTCACTTAAAATGAATTACATATGCCTATATAATTTTTTTTTTTTAAATCAGTGTTTTGATGATAGAAGTACAATCACTTTTTTTTTTATGCTTAGTTTGCCCCAGAAAACTGTCCAGGTTTTTTCCTGCAGTTCATACTTTTAATGTTACATATCATTAATTTTTGTGTAATATGTTCTGTGCTAATTAAATTGGTTAAAGGGTAGCAACTGCCCTGAAGGAAAGAAAACTCTGGTGATCTTCTTGTAGTACATCTCCTGTTTAAGTTGGGCAATAAGGCAGACTGGCTTCCCTGAATTTGGACTGGAGTTTGGGAAAACATTCAAAGCTAGTTTAAAATATAACCAAGAACAGAGAGGCACCACTGCTCTAATGCTCCCTTGATCCTCTATGTTTTTTTAACACAGGAGATAAAGTCCCAT